TGCTGTTGTACCTAAGGTTGACATATATATCCAGATCGGTAAGACCATTCTCATATCTTAGTTTCCTTATAATTCTGGATGGAATTAAGGATGATGATTCCTAGGATATCACTACAAGCTTTACTTTACAACTTGCAAAGTAATCAATTTTTGAAAAGGCCGCAGTTATTTGCAACATCTAGGTAGTAATAAAACAGTGATATATGAATCTCTTGCATGTCATTGTTCTTGCTGTATATTTGTGGTATAGTGACACTAGACTTGCAGCTTGTAGACTGTCAGGTTGTCATCCTGTTCTGTGCCTTTAAATTCCACCCACATTTTTTCATTTCATGACTAGTTTACAGAGCAGCTCTAATGGCTTTTGTGTTTATTAAAGAGGCTCAGAAGGAGCACCTACATGGTTTAAAGGCATGCATACAGCAGCACAAAATTCATTACCCTGCACCACATGCTGACCATGATATAATGCAGGCGAGTTTACATATATCTTCCATGGCATAACTTGTAGGATTGTCTAAATGAAGTCTTCAGTGGTTTTTTTTGTTCTTGTTCTATGTTTTTTTTTTTTCCAATATACCCTGGAATCGGGTTCTGTGAAATGTACTTGTGCAGGACACTCTCACTGTTGACCTAATTCAAACCCTGTCTTCATTATTTTGTTTTTTCCAGCAGCCACATGATGGCTTTAATGCCCCACTGTCCTGATGCGCTCTTACGCGCTTCCTCTCTTGCAAGAGTGGAAATATTTGGACTTCCATGAATTATCTTAGCACCTGTGGCTCTTTCCAGAAGTATCACTGGTGTTTGCCCTTCTCCCCTCCTCCAAGACTTTCTGTATCCCCCATACTTTTTAGTCCTTTATATTTGCTGTGAAAGTTGTTGCCATAACCAGCCAGCTGGCCTCTCTGCTAGCGCGCTTAGTCAGCCAATTCAGATGTAGTACTTCTTTCACAGACAATAACGGTCTGCACAAGTTCCTGTAGGTTCTTCTAAACGAAAGGTTTATTTTGCTGAGGAAAATTGATTTCCCCAGAAGATGGGTGAGCATGCTGGAATTTTTGTACAGCATAGCTAATCATAACAAGACTTTATCGTTCAGTGTGCTCTGTGGCTTTTTAAGATATAACAGCAGGTTTCATAAAACTCTGTAACAGTATGAAATAAATCCTAGACTCTCCTTTCCTTTTTCATTTACTACTTTAAATAGGTATTAAACATTATTTTAGAATGTAATGGAATTCCAATTTAAAAATAGGGTTGGCAACAGATCAGCTGTGGACTGAAACTTTTCAGCTTTTTAAGGGGTTATGAGATAGCAGCACTGCCCTGATGAACTTCATTATGCTGTATGAATATAAAATATTCATAGAAAGGGAGATTTGCAAAGGCATAAAGGAAAGGCACCTATTTTTTCAATGCATCTGGGAGTTTTAAGTCCTAGTCTTATATTTTAAAGTTTCTTCTCCTGTGTTAAGATTACAAACTAAGTTTCTTTGAAATGTGTGTATTTTTATATTTATAAAATAACTTTGAGCTCCAAATTCGGAATATATATGTATTGTCCAGTGTTGCAAATCAAATCAGATTCCTCATAAGATCAGAGTGTGCACACATTTAGAGCATCTGCAATGCCAATCTTAGCCTTCATTTTGCTTTTACCGTTAGAGAGGAGAGTAATGGATATTTAAGCTGTTGATGAATCAAGGTCTAAATTCTAACTGCTGGAAACAGAAAGTTTAGGAGTTGATGAGTTTATTAGAACAAGTCATTATAATTGCTTTACATGTGAGCAAGACCATTTTTCAAAATATCTGCGGTTCTTAGCATGTCTCTTCTTGTACAGTGTCATCTGTAAGTAAAAGCAGAGGTGATTAGCTTTATAATTTACACTTAACTAAATCTGTCAAGAAAATGGTCTTATAGTCCATCTTGTCTTTTTGTAATGAAGCTGTGGATGGGGTTAAGCAACAGTGTGTTCACCCTCCTGGAGGTCATGGAGGATAGAAGCTACTAATGTATTCTAAGCTGGAAAGCTCACGCTTGACCTTGATGATTAAAGTTTTCTTCCCATCCAGCAGCAGTTGAGCCTGAATTGGCTCTTAAGAAGTCAAAAGGTCTAATCAACCTAATGAACAAACTCAATCGTTAGTACTTTGGGGGAGGAAGTGTGTTAACACCGTAATAATGCCAGGCTCCGCTGGCTGCCATGTGTGTGTTGATAGGAATGGTGTGTGAGCTCAAGTGGATGGGGAGAAGCTGGTGTCGTTGTGCTGGCTGTGCAGTGGAGCATAGTGAGGTTGTGCCTGGCAGAGCACGGTTCTTTGCAGATGCTCCTAACCTTCTCTGGCCATGAGAGAGAGTTTAGAATCTCATGGATTATACGAAGGGTTGCTTGTTCTCTTGTAAAATATTTTTTAAGTGAGGATTAAGTGAAACCTGAACCTTCCTCTGATGAACTTGTCTGATCATATACTAAATCTACACTTTTCTTCATGGATTACTCTATGTTCTTTTCACACTCCATATTGTATTTATGCCAGCCACAAATATTTTTTCAGACAGCCTTTATTGTGCTGTGAAAGCTGAATTTGATGGGAAAGTCTCTTTCACACGGGTTGAGTAGACTTTAAATCCTGTTGTTTATCATTCTGTTGTCTGGAAAGTGTCTGCAGCTACTGTTTCTGTAGTAGCAAATGGATTTGCGATTTCCTAAGCTTTTCCTCTGTTACTAATTCCAGTGTTCGCCAGTGTCCTGACCTTTACTTCCTGGTACCTGGGAGAGTTTAAACAAATCTTAAGTGGGATGGCAATAGTTGAATATAATGTATAAAGTTCTTGCATTAGTCCAAATTGTCAGTCCCATCTCAAAATGAACTGATAGGTTTTTCTGCTTGCTACATTACCTCTTGCTTGAAGTCTTCTTTTGACACAACAGGTCGCACGGCAATCCAGTTCTGTCCCTCTTTCCCATCTACCAACATGTGTACTGGACCAGTTGTTAGTCATTCCAGTATATTAAAACCTTTCAGACATGCCTTGACTTCTGAGACAGAGCCCTTGTCAGGGCAGTAGTTAGCGTGTGTTGCGGAAACTGTTTCACCATCATCCTGTGTGCCTACCAGGCAGACCCTTTTTCCAGACATTTTTCCTTTGGTTACTTTGAAAGGAGGTATCTTATTATACTTTGCTCTGACGAGAGCAAGCCACACAAATACACAGTGTTTTGGAAGGTTGTGTTTCTCGCCCATAAACGTTACAGGATTTTATTTTTCTCTGTACCTGCTAGGGTCAATCACTGACAGATTATTACTGTTTGAAATTACATTAGTTATCCTGGAACTGTAATCTGATGTTACTTAGGAAACCTGCTTTCTTCTCCAAAATCACCAAAATTGTTTGACCCAAGGAAAAGATGAAAGGGACTGTCCGATAGGAGTGACTCCTTCCCTCTTTGGAAGAGAGCCGCTCCATACTCTCGTACACTTAGAGCCACTTGCAGTTGGTTATCGTCCTCCTGTTAAGAGCAGGCCCTGACCTCTGACATTTGTTAACTGCTGGGCTAAACATGAGGACCATGATGCATCATCTTGGTGATTCTGGTTGTCCAATTCATCGAGGTCAAGAGAAACTTTCTTACTACACTCTGATTATTTGAAACTAGATAGCTCCTTCACTTTCCTCATGAATTGAATGACAAACTGGTAAAACTGCTTGCCCCTTTTGGTTGCAGTGCTCGGGTCGGTTATGGCTGAGGATGGGTAACCAGCAGTAAGGGTCTGGTGTCAGGCTTATGAGCTTTGGGTAGTACCAGGCCTCAGCAGGAAATATAGCAGTGAGTAAGCTGGTGGCTCATAGGCGTAGGAAGAAGGGTGGATATCTGTGGATTTTAACAAGTGTAGATGTCATCACAGGTTGCCCAACACAGTTTTAAAAGATCTAGTGTGCCTTTACTATGTATTAGGTGTTAGAAGTCTGTCTGTGGAAATGTGGTGGAAGCAGTTTCCAGCATAAATTGGTGGGGGGAAAACAACACACTTAAGTGAGCTATGGTATGTTTTTTCAAGCACATTCATTTTTGTGATCCTGTCATCCTTCTGTTAGACAACCAACAGTAAATCAAATTTTTAATCTAAAAGGCTTTCAGAATTGGCATCATACCATGCTTTTAAAGTGGGTTCTTTCAGGTTTTTTGCTGTCTAACGTGGATTCTAAACTCTCAGTACAAGAAAAGTCCAAATATATTTTAATATGAATATGAAAAAAGCCCTCCATATTAATTATACATCAATATAATTTTATCATACTTTTACTTTATTATTTTAATTCATTGTATTTACTTGCTGTGCTGAGTATTTGTAGATTCAAGTGTGGAGGAAATTTGTGCCCTTATGGCAGATGCACAGCAGACTTCAGCATTAACATAACTCATTAAAATAGGATAAAAGTAGAGCTGCAAAACAATCTATGTCTTTTGCCAGCAAGCTTGCGAAAAAGGGAAATTTCACTCAATTTAATATATGAAAGTGTAATCTTTCCAAGCTGGAGAGAAAGCAGTCGAGATCACCGACTCGTGTGCACAGGTTAGCTCCCTGGGTCTGCTGCGGTGGATGGGGAGCCACATACGCAAAAGGCAGATGACTGCATGTCGTATTTTGGAGACATTAAGTAAAATTACCTTTCTGCGTGATGAAAGCTCCCTCACCAATATTAGCAAAATGTGCAGCAAATGTGTTTTATCTTGATAATTTGCAATTTCCCAAAGTTTCCTACTTGTTTCTAAGTATTATGATTAAAAGCAGCTCTGTCCATTCTCATGCTCTCGTGTGCTAACCGGAAGAAAAACCCTACAGTTACCTTTTATATAATGTCTGCTTTATCTATCTATCTATCTATCTATCTATCTATTTATTTATTTATTTTGGAATGTAAGTAGATAAAATGGAGACCTGCTTATTCAAATGCAGCTTTTTCAGTGTGTCACACTCTGGACCCTACAGGGTGAGCCGATCACTTTTTGTGAAGAGACGTTCGTGTCCCATCGCTCTGCCGTCATGAGGCAGTTCCTGCAGAACGCCATCCAGCTCCAGCTCTTCAAGCAGGTACTGGCGTCGAAGCGCTACGGCACAGGCGGACTCTGTCACAGTACCGCAGCTTGTCCTTTGAGCGCTGCTGCTGAATTCCCTGATCCGTCAGCCACACAGTGAGGACGATTCATGTAGGCAGCAGCACCTTAATTCCCGCTTGCTGGCTGCGCTCAGATTCAGGTGACAAGGCTTTCGGTGCTCTAAGAGGCGTAAGGGTGTCCCGTCTCCCTCTCTCCCTCCGTCCCCCCTGCCCCTCAAAAACTTTTTAATAAAATTTGTTGGTTTTGTTCGAAGCAGTTAGACTCAATATATTTGCTGCAGTCTTTTTACAAAAAACATGCTACCATTAAGCACAATATTACTACTTCAGGCAAGCTGAACACATATGTATATTTACAAACACATGCCCACTTCTTTTTTTTTTAATGAAGAAGCATACCTTTTTGCACTGGTAAACATTTTGCTAGTGTTTTTGTTGTATTTTCATTCTGTTTAGAGTCCCTTCCTACTAAGAACATTGTGCTTATTGTAGCAAATGCAGAACAAAATCTTCTGAAAAACCAAAGGATGGGGTGGTTGACATACTTACACTTTCTTTTAATGCTGATATTGTAGTTCATTGATGGCCGCCTGGATCTTCTTAACTCTGGAGAGGGCTTCAGTGATGTTTTTGAAGAAGAGATAAACATGGGAGAATATGCTGGTAAGAAATACAATATTTTTAAGTATATTCAGAGACTGTCCCGACATAGTGTTTGGGGCCTGATTTAATGGATCATTGTGATCACTCATCTAAATAAGAGAGGCAGCCGTGATCCCTGTAGCTTGAAGTGTCTTAAATTTTTGTTCTTTCCTCTTTAAATAACTTTGAATAAAGTGTTAGTTTGAATAAAGTCTGTTTGGCCTTTACAAAATCTCAGCTTTACCACTTGGCTAGAGTACAACTAAAAGAGCTCTTGCAGTACAGGATATTGAAAAAACCTTGACTTTACCCAGAACCACCTGAAAATTTATTTTAACAAGCTTAAAAAAAACTCAATGATCTCAAATTTCTGAAAGAGAACCCAGGCAGACTAGAAATCCTATTAGCAAGTGTAAGAAAAATTGCAGGTATCTGGAAAATTTTTGGTTATTTTGTTTCCAGGATGGATGTCCTATTCTGTTTCTGTAGTATTCATGCTACTAGAATCACTAAGTGCTAATGCTTCACATTTCTAGCTTGTTTTCTATTTGGTAGAGAGTTGCAGTTTTTTTGGGTTTTTTGTTTGTTTTTTTTTTTTTTGATTCTCTCCAGGTAGTGACAAATTGTACCACCAGTGGCTCTCTACAGTAAGGGTAAGAACACAATATTTTTCCAACAAACATTCCAGTTCTTACTGGCCCACTGAACAATTTTATATCACTGTTAACCTCTGTTCTTGTGAACAAAGCTAGTCTGTTTCCTATAGTGTTTAACTGTGGACAAGTTGAGTTTAGGTGTGAGAAACTAATGCACTCTTCAGATGAAGTAAAAAATAGAAGGAAGAATACTGAAAAAAACCACCATAGGAATCTTTGGATTATATTTCTCCGGTTTTTGAATCTTACTTTTAATGTCTTGGAGAAATAGATTATTGTCATTTTGGAAAATAACATGTTTTTTCTTCCCTTTATAATAACTTACTGGGAATCCCAGCCACATCAAAAAGTTCTTTATAAAGCTAAATGGTGTGAAGTGCTGAAAGGGGGACAGCACTGTTTGGAATGCTTTTTCTGTCTAGTTAGTTTAGTGCTCTAGCTGTATAAACTACAAATGTAAATACTTTAAGAGAATAAAACAATACTATAGTTGATAATTGGCTCCTGATTTTAAAAGTCTCTTTTGATGCATAGAATATGTTGTGATATATCAAAGTAAAATAATTCTGGTTTATGGCTATGAGTCACTGGGGAAGATTTTGTTCTTTTCTGACAGAATTATCGTTTGCAGCATTCCATTTGCCTTTTGTCCTGGTTATGAATAGATCTCCCTTACAAAAAGTTGGGCTCAGTATTATTCTGATAATTTTGAATTAAACATACTTTATAACAATAATGCAAAAAATCTCCCTGCCCCGCATAGATAGATAAAACACTCATACACACATGTGTACATTTATGTATATGTTTAAATATATAGAATATATATAATGTTTAAATATATAGACTATATATACACATACAGGTAGGATTTCAAGTAATTTTAAAATGAGAGGGAAGGTGAATGGTTGAGAGTGAATGTAAAAATTTATGTAACTACATTCAGAGGTTTATAATTTTTGTTTAGGGTTAATAAGTAGTAAATCTTAAAATTGTTTGCAAATAGTTATATCTAGAAATTTAATTTAGTACGGAAATAAAATATTATAAAATTATTTAAGATTTTATTCCATGATTTTTACCCATCTCCTTTATTGCTCAAATAAGGTACTCTGTAGAAACAGCCAATGGTGTGTAGAAGATGTATAAAACACCAACTATACTAACGGATTGTTCTGTCTGACATATTACTGTGTTATATGACTTTTATGTTTGCCACGTGAAATGCAGCTTTTCTAGAGTTATGTTCATGACTAGTCATGAACATAGTTCCTCTATTTTTCCTCTTAATCTAGTATTTAGATCTTAAAAAGGCAGCATGGTTTGGGTAATAGTATTGTGGGATCATGAAAAGGAAAATATGCTTATAAGTAGGATCTTGCCTCTTCAGAGCGAGGGGTCAGGCTTTTCTGGAACTGAATTTTCTGCCCCAGATTTGATTATTTGGTAGGATACTTTATTCTTAAAAATGTTTAGATTTTAATGCCATATGTGGGACACCCTTGAGAGTGAATGGAACAGCCACAGAATACTGTTTTTATGAGGGGACTGTAAGACAAGGGCTCTTGGTATTAGGAGAAACTGATATTTTTGTTTTGACAACGGCTGTATTGAACAGAATTGGGGTTTCTTTGGAAAAACAGTGATAAAGATTAAATATATTTTTGCTTAGGATTTTTTTTTTAATTTACCATTTTAATACTCAGATCTCCTAATAAGCATAGCTCATTCTTTGTTATTTTAAGTTGTTAAAAACAGTGGCTTTTGGATTGCTGTTTGCTTTGAAGAGCTTTAATAACATTTATTTTGTTGTTACCGTGATTATAGAAAGGAAGTGGAGCCATTTTAAATACAGTAAAGACCAAGGCTAACCCTGCCATGAAGACTGTCTATAAATTTGTAAGTATCAAGTACTGGCTGACTAGTGAGAGAAGAGTCTAATTACGATTCTGTTTTAACCTTTCAAGTGAAACTCAAGACTTAAAGCACTATGTGAGTCCAAAGAAAATTAATTTAAAATATGCATTCCTCTATCTTTCAAATTTAAATGAAATGGAAGAAGTTAATTTTGAAATATTTAAACATAATTGAAATGCAAAGGACAAGAAGAACTTGTGATTACTTTTGAAAGTATACATACTATTTAATAAACAGAACTATTTCTGGGAAATAGTGCCTATATTCCTTGCTAAGCAGCTCTACCATCTCATCATTACCCTGCTGGAAAAAACCCGTTGTTAGCCGAGGTTTCTCTGCTTGCAGTTTCATTGAAATAAGGGAATCCTCTCATTTCCCAGATTTTTCCATCTTTTCTAAATGTCAGTGTTAATTTTTCCTATGCTCTTTTTATACCTGCTTATTTAGAACCTAACTTACTGGGTTATTTTTTAAGTGAAGAGGTTTTCAGTTCTAGTGTGTTACTGTATTATCATACAATTTCACTGTGCAAGATAAAACCACATAGAAAGAAATGAGGATTTCTTATGAACTGAATCATAAGAAATAATGCTGCAGCAAGCAGTAAGATGAGTGTTCACGTTTTTCCTCTTGCCTTCCTCCAACCTGGGAGATGAGTAGGGCTAGATTAGCTCAGCTAAGTGGAACTAGCATGCGGAGTACTGCAAGGAGGGAGTTTGAAGGTTTACTATTACTATTGATTACTAACTCATAGCAAAGATAAACACTTAGAGGGTAAGACCTAGGGTCTGGAAGGGGAAAAGACAAAAGATATCTCTACCCTCAAAACGGAGAAAACAAAATTTCTGCAGCATTGAGTGTTTTTTGCCCTTTTTTTTTTTTTTAGCTTTTTTTTGTTTTAGTGTGTTTTTGGTCTCTTGTTCCAATTTTTTCTTTACCTTTTTCAGTAACTAGAGAAGGTGAATCTTGATGCACTGAAATCAAGCGCAGTCACTGCTGGAAATAGAAGGGGATTTTAACTTAAATTAATTTTTCATGCAGGCAAAAGATCATGCAAAAATGGGAATAAAAGAAGTGAAAAACCGCTTGAAGCAAAAGGTACTTGAAGTTTTTATTCAAAATGTATAAGCACCATGTATGAAATACTTAGCCACAAAAAGCATTATGTGATCAATAGGAAGCTGTTTGATACAGTGTTGTTAGCACACTTCAAAATGCATTACCAGCTGTCCTGGATTTTTCACACTGTTATAAATTTTCACAGACAAAAAAAACTGTCTTCAAATACACTAAGGCTCTGACTTAAACCCACAAAAGCCAGAAAACTGAGTGTACTGTTTAGAGGGGTCCCTCTCCTGTCCGTTGTGCTGGGGTGTCGTGGATCGGGGCTGCACCTGAACTGGGCGATCTTGCCTACCGTCATGGCAGTGAACTTTTTCCAAATGGCAAACTGTTGTTATTTCTACAGTAATATCTCAGGGAAAAGAGCACAGGATCTGTCATTCAGCACATGATTTACACATTTCATGACTGTCTACTGTAGAGTTTAGGCACAAAGAAATTATATCAGTTTTGATTTTCATTTTAAATTTGAATTTTGCAGCAAAACATACTCAGACTGTTTGTTGTTTTCTGAGTCTCTTTTTTGTTTGTAAACAGTAAGATTCTGGGAATGCTGAACTGTGTTCAAGGAATGTGTTACCTGATATTAATTGCTTGTTTTAAGCCAGAAGCATGGTCATATTGATGCATACTGTATGGAGGAATGGTTAATTCTGCCTTTAGGTTTATTTCAGGTATTCTATTTATTCTGTGAATCAGAGCTATTAAGAGTCTTCTGGGAATGCAAGGTAGCTAATTTGTTAAAATAACTGTGATGCTCTCATTCAGATTTTTGTTTCAATTTATTGCCTATTAATTGTTGATTTTTTTTTCTTTTTTCTTTTCTTTTCTTTTTTTTTTTTAAAATTGTGATATCTCAGTGATTTTCCCCCCGCCTCTAAATTTCTACACTATCATCTTAAGGTAACACTGCAAATATATTCTTTTGACACAAATAGAAATCTGCCCGATCACACCAACAGAATCTTAATACAAAGGGATTATTCTAAAGCCAGGTTATAACCTTATGGAATAAAGTGTTTGCGATCCAAATGCTGTTAGCCCTTTAACTACAAATTTCAGCAGATTGTTAGAGATTCTTGGGAAAGATAAAGTTGATTCAGATTATTTTCATGCTATTTCATTTTATTGCATTTATTACTTTATATGTGGCCATTTAGGGTATAATATGAAAATATTAGGTAGAAACATGAAACGTTTGTCTTGTACACAGAATTTTTTTCTTTCATTCCATATGTTTTTTTCGGGACATAACCTTCATGAATAATGACATTTTGTTTGCTCTTCTCCTTTGTTCTAAAGCAGTTGGTGTTGTGTAAAATGACCAAATTATTTTCCTGTATTTTAAATGCTAATGTAACTGTATGCTGTTCTGTAACATTTTTATAGAAAATATTGAGAAAGTTCTCAACTCATTCATTCATTGCTTCGTTTTATTGCTGTTGTCTCCCTAGTCCTTCAAGCACCAAATGTTCTTTTTAAAAAACATACCACATGTACAAATGAATGGACCGATTTTGTTTCACCTTCCTTATTATTTAGCATTTCTGTAAGTAACATTGTTAAACATGTGCTTTCACAAGAGTTTAAGACTTCTAAGAATAATTGACACATACTGTTCTACTTCTCCTCTTTTCAGTAAATCTACTCTTTTTGAATGCAACATTACAAGATAGCTCTGAAAAGAGGTATTACTCTGTTTAAGGTGATAAACATAACAAAAATTGTTTGGCAACCCTCAAACATTATTTTCAGTCTAAATGTCTGTGGAGCTCTGTTGATAAGTCCATTAGTGCATCCTCACCAATTTTCATCTGAGAACACTATATTTTTCAGGTATATTCTTGCAATGTACAGTTATTTTGTGTTTGAAATTCTGGCATAATTAAATGCATAATTTCGTCAAATTTGGGGTGCTACTCTTTCATGTCCTAAGTACAACTTAGGATTGTTTTTAAACTGAATTTACCGTCCAGTGCAATTTAAAATATTATTTTCTGTTATTAATACAAAATGTATGCAAGCCACTGCTAAGGAAAAGTCGAATATAAACATCCCTTTAACAGTTTTCACTGCAAATATGAGCAGCTTCTGTACAAGACAGAATTTAAAAATGCAATAAAGCTAGAGGTCTGCTTCCTACAACTCTGCATAGCAATGATGACCTCTTAAATATAATCAAGAGCCCATTTTGCCCTTGGTCTGCTCCAGTCTTGGGTTTGAATTGCAAATGGGAAATGCAGGATTGACCTGTTGAGAGGTCACTGTGGTGTGTGTAAGGTCCTTCTTTAATATGATAGTAGAGATTGAATGGGGCTCTATTTCCATCCCTTGTTCATTTGTGGTACAGTATTTCAAAGCAGCAGAAATAGTTTTCAGAGAATCCTTATGAGTGATAGCAAATAATTGTTAATAGATACAGCATGGTAGCTTTATTTTATATCTGCTGCAGTACTTTTTTCTTTTCTTTTTTCCTTTTTTTTTTCTTCTCCCTGTAAAGGCAGCTTTTTCCGTTTCACAAATGGAGTGTGGTGGTCAAGTCACTCTGTTATTGGCCTCCTTTGAAGCTTAACTGCATAGAATTAGGAAGAGGGAAGAGTGTGAATGGTACCATCCTCAACTTTCAGTAAGGAGAATGTAGCTTACTGACAGCGGCCGGATAAGACAATTTATAAATGGTTGGGCACTTGGCATTAATGTATTCAAAATTATTTTACTTACTAGATCCCTATGTGGCTCTAGTTAATGTCTGTTATCAGTGGGCTGTTAGTGCTTTATCATCGGTAGGACTGGGAACATCTCATTTAGAGGTTTATAAAATAACTGGAAGAATCCCTCTAGATGTTCTGACATGTATTTCTTGTGCTTCTGATAGACAACGTTTGTAGTCCATTATATAGTGTCTCTAGAAAAATTAATAATGCGTATTTCAGCAGAAGAAAACTTTATTCAGTTTACAAGGTTAACTTTACATATCTGTAAATATATTTTACTCATTCTTTAAGGTTTTAGGAGTTCTTCCTCTAAAATAAATAGATAAATAAGTGTTCTCCTCTCTGTCATAATGCATTGGGGTAGTAAATTCGTAGCTCAGTATAGCAAAGACTTCGCCTGAAGGGACAGTCGTTAGGGGAAGCACTCTTTATATAAATTATGGAACTGTGATAGATAGTTGTCATTCTCTTTTTCACCAATCAATAAAGTACTTTTTTGCCTCAAGCAAAAGATGTGGGGTATTTTTAATAATGTTCTTAAATTACACTTTATTTTCATTAAGAGGTCACTGAAACACTGATAAGTTTTTGCCTTTCTGGAGATTTTTCTCCCGTTTTTTTGGAAGGGATAGAGGACTCCTGATTTTTCATTGTTCTGAACACTGTGTCAGTTGAGCTACAGCAGGAACGTCTCGCTGGCTTAGCCCAAATCCCTCTTTGGAGACCTGTGGGAACTGAAAAGTCAGACCAAAGGACATACCTACGCTGTAGGATGCCTTGCAGAACGGCTCACTAGCCTCGACCAAGTTGGCACACCTCCACAGCACAGCCGCTGATGGAGATACTGGCGCTGATCTCGGAAGCGTGGGGAGATGGGAGGCAGCATCCTAGCTAGTCAGTCCTGCCCCTCGGCTTGATTAACGAGCTTGCGAGGCAGGCGCAGGCCTGCGGTGCTGCTGCTTCCCGTCCCGGGAATGGCTGCTGCTTTTTTAGGCATGTCTGCACCATGGTCCACTGAGGCTCCTCAGGCCATGGCTAGCTCTGCCGCTGAAGAACTGCTTTTATCTGCAGACATTTTGCTAGCCTTGATACCTGTCCAAAACTGAAGTTCAGAATCAGTGTCCTGTCTTCTTGTTTGTGTTTTATAGCTCTAAGGAGAGGCTGTCTCCTGCGGCCGAACTGACTGCTCACTGACTGCTGAAGGGCTGTATGCAAGTCTGATAGTGGACTCAAATTATGTTACGGGGTGCTTTGCAGGACCGTTGTCTGCTTTCTGATTACAGAAGTGCTAAATGCTCTGATGTTTAGTGGTGTTAGAGTTACTTGTAGAGTCCTAATTTTGTGCATTTAAAATCAGGTTTCTCTGTTTATTAGGCTCAAATGCATTTTCATTGAAGGTAGAAAACAGACTTTTGTGAAGCAAATTTTGCTTTGATGACTGAAACAGTGTTGTTGATTTGTGTGCCTCTTTGGGATTTTGAAAAAATACTGATCTATCAAATGAGTTAATTCTCATATTTTATTAAATAAAAGAAAAAAAAATCATTTCCACTGAAGTCTGCACCGATTTCTTTGGAAGTCTGTGCCCCAAACATGGTGGAAATGTGCTTTAGGAACCCTTGTCTTCTGTATGCAGTTATATCATCTAGAAACACAGGAAATCTACAGCAATAAAAGCTGCAAGGATTTGGAATGGCCATTAAAAAGCTTAGCTTTTTTTGGCGCAGCAGCTTGTTCTGTCTGCGTTCTTCATCTCCTCCCTTTCCCATTCCCCTGCTCTCCAAACTTTTGCATCTGTTTTTCTGGAAATTTTGTCTGGATAGAAGATGTTTTCCGTTTGTTGATTCTCAGTTATCTATCACCTTGGTTGGAGCCCCAGCTCCAGGTGGACCTCCGAAAGCTCAGCAGTGCTGGGGCTCTCCACCCTTCAGTGCACATCAGGCTGCTTTGGATGTGCCCATCAGCTTTTTGGCAGACGCAGAACAGATCTGAAGCTTGGTACACGTTTCATCTGGCTATGCTTGTCTAGAAGTAGGGAAATAAAGTTTCTATTCATTCGTTGCATTTCAAAACAGTATATGTTGCCTCCATAGGTTATGTGATTGCAAAGCTGCCTTGTTCCCTTCCTAGTTTGTTGCTGGGTTAGAGCTGAAGTATTGCAAGTTTTAGGGAAACTTACTTTTCGTGTGGTCCAGTTGTTTTTAGGCTTCTTTGTTACTAATCTAGTGTACTTTGTTGTATTTTTTAAAGACAAGGTAGCATTGTGCAGTTGGTGGGGGAAAGGAAAAAGTTTTTCTCTCTAGTTTGCCTTTACAAAGTTGTTAATTTCCCCGCTCTCCTTATGCCCATGTTGGTGAACCATTGCTCTGCCAGCTGGATCTAAAGAGGTCTCTCAGCCTCTGTGTGGAGCACACAAAGCCCCTTAGAAAGTCCATCCAGCTTTTTGTTTCATTTGACCCAAACACGTTAGGTCAGCCGGTGTCCAAAAGCACCGTTTCTAATTGGCCGTCAGCCTACATGTCTCATTACTGTACCTGAGCAAGCTGGAGACTTGTGGGGCCATGTCAAAGGGCAGGGCATCAAAGCGGTGTCGGTGGCAGCCGCCAGCCCGGGGTCAGGTTTGCAGAGCTGCTGTGTGCGCGCGTTTCTCTCTATATTTACCAAGCATTATTTCCCTGACATTGTTGCGAAGAGATTTAAGGTTTGGGGCCCACTGCGTTACATACAAATCTCAGCTGACTTTCGGACTCTTTTCTCCGGCTGTTTCCTGATGGCTGCGTGCCTTTGTCTTCCTCAAGTTTGTGTTAGACCAAACGTGCCCTGGCCAGGAAGGGTAACCTAGGCTGATGGGTCGCTTCAGTTCTGAGGATGAGGAGTAGTGTCAAAAGCAAAAGCAAAACAAAACAAAAAAGCATCCTGCTAGGCAGCAGTGTGTTTTATGCACTCTCCTAAAGGCACACTTAGTATACACAGACTCAACGATTAGATGCAAAGCTAGCTAAGTTGTGATTTTGCTCTCTCCTTGCAACTTTCAGAAGTAGCTGTTCTGCTGCACATAGAGCAGAAACAAGAGTTACAGCTTTCAGGTAGCTTTGCAAAAAGCAGAATGGGCCTGTTCTTAGGCTTCCATTGACTTTGTTCTTCACATGAAAATTTGAGCTATGTTTTGTTCCCTCTGTATATTTCCTGGCTTTTGCCTGTTTAAGTCAGACATAGTATTGAACGTATTTGGTGTTTGCATGCAACACTGGTGTCTGTTGGAGGAGAGGGTGGTTGAGCGCAAGCTTTGCTTGACAAAGTGCAATGAAACCTTTTATTCTAATTATACTTTCTTTTCTGTACTTGTTTTTTCGTCCTAACATCAAAATGGTTAGTTAGCGTTATCCTCTAGTGTCTCCTCTGTGCCCCTTACCCTTAAGCAAGAACGCTCCTGGCCATGCTATTCACCTTTTCCTACCATGCAGGACGTAGCTGAGAACGGCTGCTCTGCGGCACCAGAAGAGTCTCTGCCAAGGCCAGCGCCTTCTCCCTTGGTTGAAAAGAAGGACCCTAAATTAAGGGAAGATAGAAGACCAATCACAGTACATTTTGGTCAGGTATGTGTTGGTGTTAGCTTTCTTTAAACTATGTGACTCAGAAGAGAAAAAAATAGTTCAGAGGAAAGTCATATTAAAGAATATGCCAATCATTTCTTTATTTTCTTGCAGCTGAATTATGTTGTTGTATCTGTATAAACAGGATTCAAAAACCTTGTTTTGTGGGATTTACTGATTCCTTTTGTTCATGCAATGTTTTTAGAAGAAAATAAATTCTAATTGAATTTGAAAAAATTATGAAATCATTAGAGCAGTTTTATAATCTATTTTGCCTGTTCATTTTAGCATGCAAAGATGCTGTGGCCCTCAGGGCTGAGGGTGTGTAATTTAAAATAGCCTCTGTTATGTAGCCAGATCATTAGTGTCAACACAAAACTTCCAGCTATTAAAGCATTTTAATATTCTTTAAAAATTAAAAGCAATGAACTAAGATAGAAAAATTAGTTAATAGCTTACTTGTGTACTCTCTATTTCAGCATTGACAATTGAGCTATGCACATCAGTTACTCTCATAATGTTTCTTTCAGTATGTTGGCAAAAAAGCAATTTTGTTTGTTTTTGAAAGCTAGTTATTTAGAAAATGTTATGTTTGTTGTGATTATTATAGAAAAATGTACAATACTCACTATAAATTTGCCAGTGTTCCACTATTAAGTGTTTGCTTGAGTCAGGAAATAACATTATTTTGATTTGTGATTTTTTTTTTTTTACAGTATTATCACGAGAATGGTAAATGTATGGTTTCACCCAAGGAAACATAGTGTGATTTTAAAACAATAATAAAAGGAGTGGAAATTAAAATGTGAGGCGAACCAGATTTTTAGATGAGCATTTATTAATAGAAACAAGTCAGTATAACTGCACTGATCGTTTAGATATTAAGGAGAGCTACATCAGATATAAACCTTGCTCAGGGCATTTTATTTTCAGGTTTCTGTATCATTTTAGAACTTTGGCTGCTGTGCTAAATAAAGAGTGGTTGAAAGCTTTTTTTCAAACAGATTCTATTCCAATTAAATATTTGCAGTAGAGATTTATTTTTCGCTTATTTTCTGTGCCAATAGAGTTGAGAGGAATTGGCGCTACTGGAGAAATATAGCCACCTAGCTCTAGCAGGAAAATGTTACATTTCATTTAAAACAGTCATAAATCCAGAGAATATTATAATGTATTTTTAGTTTTTCCCTTTAGATTTTTATGAAGGATGGATGGTTCAAACATTTTGGTAGATTAATGAAATATATCATCAAGTGGAAAATGTGAATTTAAATTCATGAGGTTTTTTTAATGGTCACTTTCAAATTTTTTAATGATCACTTTCTCTATGTCAAAAGAAGCACACATCAGCGTTAGTGAATCACTGACTGCGGTGAAAGACTCACTTGCTAAATGCTTATTACTGTCATTACATTACAAATGTCAGATTCCAAAAAATTATCTAACTTGGCAGTTGTAGGGCTACCTCACTTAGAGCCTTTGTCCTTTCACGGGTCCTTTTTTGCTAATAGCCTGATGCCAAATTGAAAATTAAATCACACTTTGATGCAAAAGGAAAAGGTGTTCAGGTCTGTGAAAAATAAATTAAGGCTTTTGGGAGGAAAAAAGCAGCAAAATTTACTGTTTAAACAGGAGATGCCTTCTAACTAGTGATTAAAGGGAGTGATTTTAGTGTCACTTTTAACTCTGTCTAGGATACAGTAGGTGGGAACAATTAAAAAGCCACAAGAACTCTGAAATAAGGGCTGTTTGTGCATTCACAGTTCTTATAAACTGAAGAGGATGAAAGAGGCTTTTTTCTCATTGTCACTTGCTTTCTGTGTCTGCTGGTATTATGCTGGTGTATATGGCAAAGGCAGACTTTTTTAAAATGCATGCATGTGGATTAGGGTCAAGCCCTGTGTATCAGTAATGCAGTAAGCCTCGTCCATACCACTGCAGCGAGAGAGCCTACCAGCAGCAGCGAGATGCCTTAATTGAGACATGCTGTCAAAGTGACAAACACATTTGCATACAGTCTATTTATTTTTGTTGGAAAGGTCTGCAGTCGGCTCTTGGTGGAACATTCTTAATCAGCTCGCTGTAAGTGAGCCGGCAGCTAGCTGTCCTGTGCGAGGTGCTTCTCTTCCTTACGTGACAGATTAGCTGAAGGGGGATGGGCTTGCAAGCCACCAGCAACCTTTAATTTTAACTCATTATCTCTCACCCTGTAGTAAGTTAGTTTCTAGCTTTTCTGAGTACAGTTGTGTATCTGCAGTTGTTAGCTAACAAAAAATACCGGTGAGTATCTTGAAATGTCTTTGTATAGCACTGTAGCTGACTGTTTGCAAAAATTTATCAGCGATTATCTAAGCGTATGAGATTTTGTAGTGTTGTATCTCACCTTGGCGATTGTTTGCTGGACGTTATTTAAGAGGTTGCTCAAGGCAGAGTTGTTTTAGTAGTGATTTCTGTAATGGAGAGACATTGAGGAAGAGTTACCCGTAGCAGGAGAGCTCTCCTTGAGCGTGAGGAGGGTTTTAGCGGTGTAGTCTAGGGCAATGCAATAAAGAATTCAGCAAAGTGTTTCTAAAACTGCAGGAGGAGAATAGAGCGGAAGGGTGTGACCACAGCTTTTTCTCCTCCTTCAGTTGCACTGTTTTGGTTTACTCGGGATGTAGCTTTAACGTTAGTCCTCAGGACAACCAAATATAAGGAACTGTTATCGTGGACTCTGATGTTAGTCAACAAGTAGCAAGAGCAACAGAGGCAACCAAGGTTTAGGCGGTGGGGAGAAGGGGCAGCAATTTTCAAATGACAAGACTCAAGTGGATAGTAGATATATAGTACTGGATAGTAGTCTCTGTTGTGGGAAAAAATAAGGTTAATTGTGGTAGATACATTGCTACAGAGAGCACCTTTTGCAAATGACTTAACGATTGTTTTCTTTCTTCCTGCTTTTCGCCTTATATCCTGACCAAAGTTTGTTTAAAACGTGAGATCGCGCACTGCCAATTCGAATACCGGCATGTGCCGGCGCGGCCTCGCCCCCCCGTCCACGGCGTGCGCTCCCACGCCTGCGCGCCCGCTTCGGCCCAGCGTTGTCGTTCTCACCCTTGGGCTGTATAGAAAATAAACACAAAACGTAGTAGGGATTGGACTTTTCCAGTTTCTTCTTGGCAAGGTGTGTTGGCACCTCCAGTGAAACGTCAGCTCGGTGCTGGTGCTGTCTTGTGTGTCACGGTGGCCGCTTTGATGGCGTTCCTTAGGCGTACAAAGAGGTGCGAGGGGCTGCTCTGCGAGGACCCGTACTTCCAAACGTTCAGGATCTGTTGTGATACTGGACATCTTTGATCTGATTTTTTTTTTTTAAACAAAAATATTTCTTTTCCCTAATGGCTGCAGAAATTCTAGTTCTCTTGATTGTTCATAAATCTCATCTTTTTATTTTTAAAATAAGGAAGGAAGACTGCCTGGATCTTGGCCTTTTCATAGGATTTTTCAGATTCCGAGTTTCCATTAGCGCTACTGGAGTCGTGTCTTTCTGCTAGAGATTTCAACTTCTGTCGCGGAACTGTTACTGGTGGCGACGAGGGGACTGCGCAGAGCGTGGCGTTGAGCAGCCTTAGAGCTCTTCCGCTTTGCAGTCGTCGTTACCTGATTGAGCTGTATGCAAATTAAAGTCTGCAGTTCAATTCTGTCCGCTTTCAGAGGTATGTTGCTCGAGGAGCTTTTAATGTCTCTCCACCCTAAACAAAAATATTGATTTAGAAGTTGCCTTTATGCCACAAATACAAAAGAAATATGATAAATCAAATTAGAAATAGGACAAGGCATTTTTTTTTCTTTTTACAAAACTGAACTGATCCTGACCAGGTACTTTTTTTTTTTTTTTTTTTTTTCCTGCAGAGGCACAATCTCAAATATTGCATTCAAATATTTAGATAAGTGACATTTTTCTATGTTATATATGTTACAGCCAAAAAAGCTAGGAATCCAGGAAATGCAGGCATCTCTTTAATGATGGTGATTGTATAGCTGTTTCAAATAGCACCAGCAGCTCTCCAAAATATCTTGCTGAGCTTTTAATGAGCAGTAAGCTTTTTCAGTTCTCTCATATGTATGTATTTTTTGCATTAGATAATACCAAAAAAATTTATAATGTATAAGCTGATAGTTTTGTTAAGGGAGGAAGGCAAATTCATAACCGAATGTGGTATTTTAGAAGCCTCCCGAAGACGGTGCTTAACTGCTAGGCCACTAGTACGCCGGCCGGGTGTTGCTGTGATAAAACCACGTACAAATGTCCCTGTACCACAGCCAGGAGAAGAAATGCCGTATGATTTTTAAATTTTGAGCTGCTGCTGAGATCAGTGGACAGACTGACAAGTCCTGTTAGCTCGGGCCTGTGGGTGGTGTGGGGTGCTGGTGGGCTCCAGCAGACCCCGCGGCCTTGCTGCGCTGACAGAGCACCTGGCGCTTGGCGGTTGCAGCCCGCTTCTTGGGGAGTCAAGGGAGCACTTCCTTTTCCAAAACTATGCTTGTTTTTTTCCACAACTTCTTCCTAATAAAGTTTCTACTTCTGTCCACGCTGCTGCCCACCTCTCCAGCCCTGGTCAGGTCTCAGGTGCTCGTGTCGCCCCTGTGGGAAGCTGCGCTGTCGGCTCTGCACGAGCCCCCCGGGCCGTGCGGGACCGTCGCCGGTGCCCGCGCTTCACCCGGGTAGTGGCACAACTGGTATAGTACGTTTCAAAGCGACTTCTGAGGAGGAGCTGCCAAAATCGTCGTTTTGAAGGGGGGGTGAAGGGGGAGTTTATCATTTCAGTCGAAGCAAATTGCACTGGCAGTTCTGTTCTGCTCTCTGGTTGTTTCTGGTGTAATGAGAACGTCTTTTGTCAGCTTAGGTGTGTTTATGCTGCTCTGGTTTCTTTTTATTTATCTGCAAATAGAGTATTTTACTCCATTTTTGTACCAAAAGGTAAAGCTTAATAGAATAGAAGAGAGTCTTCTAAATGCATATTTAC